ACATAGAATCATTCTTTTCAATTACATTTTCATAAACTTCCTGCAGCGTAAAATTCCTTTTATGATTGACATTTGTCGAATTCGTGTTAGATTTCATCGATTTTTGCTCCTCATCTTTATTGTCATTTTGTGTATTATTTATAATCTTTGTATGCAAATCATGTCGCAGTGTTATTATTTCGTCGTTATAATTTGTTGTAGAATCCGTATTTATCTCGTATCGTATCGTTAAATTATTATCCTGGTTGGTAAAACTTTGCTGCGATTTTGATAACGAAATAACGAGGAGAAGCATGGAACACACAAATGCAAATATCTTTCCACTCATTATTTCCTGTAATAATAAACATTCGAATAATTAGATAATCAAATTTAGTGTTCATATAATTTTTCATGTAAGTTTTAAATTCGCAATAATTAAAACATGTCACATTAAATTTTTGCACACTTTTATTTTTCTATTAATTTCAATAAAATGTGTCAAGTGCAAAATATAATAAAATAAAATTATCTTATTTTGTTTCTCAACAAAATCTCGAAATGTCGATTTGATTTTAGCACCATTACTATTAATATTGGTGATTGCACGTCTTGAATTTCAATTATCTCATTAGATAAAGTCAGTACTATATCACTGTATTCGACTTTTTTTCGTTAGTAGAATGCACAAGATACATGTTTCTGCGCGGGAGAGAAGCTGAGACTACCGAGCACGACGAGTCGTCGATAGCTTAGCAAGAAGCTGTCCGTCTATTATACCACTGACGAGGTATTGTTACGTCAGTGCTGGTATCATAGTAAAGGTACGTTTCAGGTAACACTATTAATGCTACGCATTTTAAAATTGTTTGAAATAGTATGTAATTTTATGTAATTTTCTTAGAAAAACAGTGCCGTATCTATTGTATTTTTACGGGATCAAATCTGTCTGTAATATTAATAGCGTTTGCTTATCCATCTCTGCTGCACTGAACTTCTAACGCTACGGACAGGGTACAGATTTTCGTCTTACAGATTCAGAAAGCAAGCGATATAATAACAACAAGGAATGGTGAGAATTTTGACATTTTTGTAACACTTACAATTAGTGAAAATCTTTTATTTTTTTAATGAGATTTATGCAGAATTATTTATTTCAATGTCTCTGGCGACAATATTTCATACTCGCTTGATTCGCATTTCAGATGAAAAAAGCATTTTCACTGTGCTCATTGTTTTTTTTTTTTCTGTTATGTATAATTATATAATCTATAAGAAAAGAAAAACATTTATTGCTTTAACTTGAATCGTATGTTTTCAACATAGTCTGTAATTTTTGAAATGTCGCAATAAATTAGTGAGAATAAAGTTAACGAATACGCATTTATTTTATAAAGAAAATTACATTTTTAAGAAGTTATTTAAACTACTGTTTCTTTTTTTCTTTTTTTGAAGATTGTAATTTATTTCTTTATTTTTCAATTCTATAATTTGATATATAAAAATTTATTATTTTTTATTGAAAGATGACTTAATATTAATATTTGTTTGCAGGTTCAAACTATATATATAATTATATAAAAAAAGTTTTATCACAGATTAGGCTCCAACGAGCAATCAGCAATTTAATATAATTTTATTAAAATTGAAATAATTAATTTTACAGTTTTATATGTCGATGTTAACGTTTCTTTATAAAAAATTTAGTTTAAAAACTCATATAGAAAATTTATATTACTTTACATATAATTGAATCAAATCAATGATTGCAATACTGTGAAAAATACGTAGAAGTGCAAACTGGATTTGCGTAAAATTACACAGTTTCCATCTTAATAAACATATTATGTTGTGTAAATCGCAGTTAAAGAATGATGCATAAAATATTTTTCCTGATGTCCGTACTTGAATAATTATTTTCTGAGATAGATTTTTTGATTACATCATACATTTACATCAATATAAATATATAATGTAGGTGAAAATCTCTTCATTATTTACTCATTGACTTCATCGTTGTTTTTAAATAGTTTTATATCTTTGAAAATATATGTAATGATTTTTTTTATTAAAATTAATGTTTTAAGCGATTATTAAACGTGTTGGATAACATCAATTAATCCATCTATCATGAATAGAAGTTTATTAACATTTTTTCTTACACTTTGTATAGATGATTTCGCGATAAATAAATTGCCTTCCAACATTATCAACAATTTGTTATTCACGATACATTCTTGTTTTAATGATCGTATTTGTGCTTCTTATGTAATTTTCTCATATGCATGTTGAAAATGAATTAATAAAATATGCATAGTATATTTAACGCAATTACTACCTTTATTTCAATCGAATAATCAAAATTGTTCTGAGAAATAATTGCCTTTTAAATTAAGAATTATAATAATATACATAATAACATTCGGCGAATTAAAATTATTATTGCACAGCGTTTCGAAATCGTTCTATTTTGTCAATGCATATGAAGCACATGAATAATTCGGAACGATTGCTTCCGGGCTTTGCGTAAGAATTAATAACTTCTTTTGTGTACAAACTTTTTGTTCGTCAAATTTCTATTATGTATGCACATATTTTAATTCTCGTATTTTATTTCTTTTTATTTTTTTATTTATTTAATTAAATAAAATTAAAATAATCATCATATAATATGTATATAACATAGTTATTAATAGATTTCGGATTATATGCAAATTGCATATTTTTTATTTTTGCATATTCTATAAGAAGATTAATAATGTGATAAAATTATAATTTTTTTAAATTAATAAACAATAATTAGTTAAAACTATTACAATTATTTCACATTATTAATGCTGTCATAGAATGTGCAAAAAGTAACAATTATGCAATTTGCATATAATTCGAAATCTAGTTCTTAGTGTATAATTTGATAACAGTTTACAGACAGTGTGTGTGTGTGTGTGTGTGTGTGTGTGTGTGTGTGTATAAGTGGGTGTGTTTGTGTCTGTTTGTGTGTGTGTGTTTCCTAGAGTTAAAAATATTATTGCACAACGTTTCGAAATAGTTCCATTTCAATCGTATGAAGCACTTTAATATGTAATAATTAGGAACAATTGCTTCCGGGCTGTGAGCAAGAATTAATAACTTCTATTGTGTATAAAATTTTTTTCGTCAATTTTCTATGCACATAATTTTGCAAGTAGAGAATGTATATTTTGCAAGTAGAGAATGTAGCGCTGCAAAGAGCCAAATATAATACTTAGCAATTCGCTAAGAGAAGAGAGGAATAATCTCTAAATTGAGATTTAACTTTCTCTTCTTTTTTTACTCTCCTAAAACGGATGTAGACGAGACAAATATATCGGTCCGAAAAAGTCGGCTGAATCGGGAAACGAACTCAAGACCTTCCGCTAATTTGGCGACTGCTCTTTTCTCTTGCAGCGGTACATTCTCTATCCTTTTTATTTACGATAAGAGCGTTCTAGCCATATTATTTGTCACATAATTTTAATTCGCGAGTTTTTAGTTTTAAAAAAAATGTTTTATTTTAATTAAGTAAAATTGAATAAAATTATTATATAAAATCAAACAATGGCGTCCGCGCAGTGCGCTATTGTCTATATTTATATAATAATTAAATTTAATTGTATTTTAATTAATGAAATAATAAAAGTGTTGTCAAGCATACGTAAATGTGTATAATTTTATAATAGTGGATAGACAGCATGTGTGCGTGATTTCTCTCAAAACTATCGACGACTCGTCGCTCTCGATAGTTTCATTTCCTCTCTTGTAGAAACACGTTGTATCTTGTAGAAACGTTTCCTTGTGCATTCTGCTCTTCTTTTAGAAATACAAGATAATATCAGATATATTGATATATAGTATATGTTATAACGAGTCTAGCGAGATAATTAAAAATCAATCGTGCAATCGTTTAAATTAATAGCAGAATAATCGGATCAATCTTTTGAGATTTTGTTAAGAAACACAAAAGCAAAAGAATATTTTGATTTTATTACAAGTATATATTCTGCATTTAACACCTGAATTTCATAAACTTAATATAAAATCTAAAGCAAAATTTAATACAGAATTATTTAATTTTTGACAATTAGAAATCCATATGTGAGAACTGATAAATATTGAAGAATTTGACTGATTTAATTATTTAATTATTACAAAGTATATACTAATATGAAATATTGTGTCATAAAAATTTCGCGTTTTTGTATTGTAGACTTTTTTTTTCATCACGTTATCGAAATCTCAGCAAAATTGCACCAACAATGAAGAGGAAGGTCATAATTTGACAGTACGATACGAGATAGATATGAATTCTACAACATTTTCTAAGAACAAGATAAAAACACTGCAATATGATTTGCATACAAAATTAATTAGCAAACGCGATATGGAATGTAAAATAAATTTACCAATATTTCCATGAATAACGACCGCGTTGATTCTATACTATATAAACTAAGCAAGCGTTCTGTTGACAATCATGAGGATGAAGACGAAATTCCGATAAACTCTCACATCAATTTAACAAATGTCAATTATGAAGAAAACTCTACATCACAAAAAGTTTATAAAAATCTGCTTGAAAAGAATGATTTCGTGTCGAATAAAGTTTTTGAAAATTCCACTAAGTTATAAAAAATATACTAATATTATAAATTTTTATTATAAGTCATATAATATTAAGAAATAAACATATTTTTATTTGATATAAATATAACAACTTATAGTAATATCATGCAAATTGTGTAGCAGTTTTCTAAAGTTTTACAAATATTGAAAATTGAAAATAATATTAGTCCACAATTAACAATATAAATATTTATGTCAATGAATGTAACAAAATCTCATTTAAATTTGAAAAAGAAACGAGATAATAAATATGCTTTTGCTACGAAATCCAAAAATATGGATGAATTATAATTATTAATCTTAAACATAAAGATCAGCATAAATAAACATGATTTTAATTTTCAAATAAAAATTAAAGGTTGGTCATATCAATGTGACTTTATGCTTGTCCGGAAGAACTCATCTTCTTCTGTATGACTATATATATATATATCTTTTTACGTGGAAATAATGCTCGACAATGTTGCATTCGATTCGGATCGAGCTTTTGACAACAAACCGCAGCCGAATCGCTTGAATAACATGCGCTTGATCTTTTTTCTCCACACAAATATGATAAAGGTGCATAGATTCTGCATAATGTTTAGCAAATCAAAAACATACGAGTTGAAAATTGATACGTTTTCAGATAATACTTCCGCTGTTAACATAAGCCATTTTATGCCTATTAAGATAAACAGTACGATAAATAGCTTCAGATATAGATTAAACCTGCAAACAAATATATAATTTTCATAGTTCTTGTGAATATATATGATGAATGAAATTTAATTCATGTATAAACCTCAAGAAATTTTTAAAAGTGTTTGAAAAATTATTATTTTGTGAAATACAGGTGCAGTCATTAATTTGATTTTCGTTATTAATTGTCATTTAGTTTAGAGTTGCATAGATTCTCGAAGAAACACGTAAATGATATATTTCTGAAAATATTACCAAATAAAAAAAGTAAATCGGCGAATAGAAAACATGTCGTCTGCAAATGACAATCTATGGCCAATATTCATAATCTAAATTTATATTTAATATCGTTTTAAATTTGATCTTGAGCTAAAATTCCATACAACCAATCAAGGTCGGAAAATTAAATACGCGATGGGACTATTAATTATTAATACCGTCCTATTTCTCTTTTTTATAAAAAAAATGCTAAGCAATCATTTATGCGATGCTGTTTGCATAAATGTTAATATAAGTAGCATATATTTTATTAATAAAATAGATTATCATATCTCAATGCAACGATATCTGAATACATACCAATTTTTATTATCGTTAAAGCAATTGTTCTCCGAATCTTTCAGACAAGAACCCGTATCCTTTTCGAAATGCTTAATTTTTAATGCCGTATAAATAGAGAAACAAATGCTACTGATGATGAATATACTTTTGAGCACATAATAATACAACAAATACGGACCAATCTCTGTAAGTATAAAATATTATGAGTTTTTATACAGTTTCTCACAATAGTAAAATGCTATAGTATTAATAAAGTTATCTTCACTTACCATTGAACCAGCAATAATCTTGTAAATGAAATTCCGGTCGCAAAATCAATGGTACATACGCAGAAAGAATATCCATGCTGACACATAAAATAGCAAACATAAACGGACATCCCCACGCAAAGATCGTATAATATATCAACTTTCTTTTTTCTCGTTGTCTGACGTTTCTTCGTAACGAACTGAATCCTCTGCAATTTATATAACATATTTAACAAACAATAGATAAAAGAAATCAAATGTAAAAACGTTAAAATAATGTGTTTTTCATCAAGTCATCATATCATACTGTAAAGCAAAGATTCAGCTTGAAGAATCCATTCTTAAAATTGCTGTACGATAATTTTTAACGGTGTTATGAACGATTAAGGTGAAAATGACATATTCTCTTGCATTTGCAATAACTTGATAAGGAAAGATCGACGTTTACATTTTAAAAAACGATTTTACAAGGAAAACTTCAGAGTGTTATATGGAAATGTCAAGAAATTTAAAAAATTTTTGTGCGTGCGACACGTTTACTTTTTAAGAAAAAATTATCTATTTTGTCACGTTTTTTGTTTTTTGTATATAAAAAATATTAAAATTGAAGAAAATGAAAAAGCTGTAAACCATTGAAAGTAGAGATTTCAAGCTTTAAAACTCTTTTTGAAAATTTAAATTTTCATTATTCAAAACAAAGTTACAGCTATTTAAAGTTTGCCTATTTTTGAACAATTGTTATTTTTTTATGTCTTAATTATTTTAAGAAGTGTATATTTACATAACTATTATGCAAACACGACAATTAATGGTACTTTAAATTTTTATTTACTTTTGAGAGACAAATTTTTCATAAAAAATTTATTTTTCGACGAAGTAAATGAGCTGTTGAGCCAAGCGCTGTTGTTCGAGCGTTTTTTTAACATTGAAATTTATTCAATAAAATTCGTAAAACGTTTCGACTCTGATTGAATCCTCTTCAGTTACATATATTAAATTTAAAAATTGATCTGACTTTTTTAAAAACGTGTATATTTCATTACATAATTTAATGTCTCACTTAAAATTGCGTCCATATTATATTATTGACATATATATAATTTAAAATGCTGTTTGTTAATAACGCTTCCACCTATCCTGTGTCTGTCGTGTCTCGATTGAAATTGACTTCAAATCAAATTATATAATGAAATGTACACGTTTTTTGAGGAGTAAGATCAATTTTTGAATTTAATATATGTAACTAAAGAGGACCCAATCAGAGTTGTAACGTTTTACGAATTTTATTAAATAAATTTCAATGTTAAAAAAACTCTCGAACAACAGCGCTTGGCTCAACAGCTCATTTACTTTATCAACTGTATTTATTGTTGGGAGTCTTATAATATTAATCTATTTTTTATTTTGTAAAAACTTATCGTGTATTGCTTTATTTTATAAATTAAAAGAAAAAAAGGTCATATCAAAATATTATTGCATTATATCGAATGATTAGATTTCGTTATAATATTTTATACAAATTTAAATTAAATATATAATATGCTTATTATATCTAAAACGCCATTTTTACTTTTAAAAAATAAATTGTTTAAAAATCTGTAATTAATTAATAGAAATCTCGAAGAAAACTATTTATTTAAAATTATAATTTGAACTTATTATCTTTATACTCTAACTTATAATGTCCTAAATCAAATATAGTTGTTTTTGCATGTACCAACACAATATATAAGAAAATTCGAATAATACAGTATTTTGCATATTATATATTCTCTATTTTTATCTTTAAACCGTTATATGTAAAATCAAAAAGAAAGAATTTTATATAGATAAATGAAAGGCAAGTGTTAAAAATAAATAGTAATAATATAGAATATTTTCCAATTTACCTGAATGTGCACCACATATCAAAGCTTATTATATTTAGCCAAGAGAAACCCGCCATATAACCAAAATATTTTAAAAAGGCTGTAAAAATGAATAAAATTAAAGGCTGTAATAAGTAATAAAAAATAATAATATATAATATTATTAATATAAATATAAATGTAATATGTAATTTGCTCTTATAGTTGAAAAATGAATAAGAAGCAGGAAATAGACCAAAAGAGCAACGCGAAGTATAATTTGGTTGCAAATACAACTTTATTTAATAAAAAAATCATTTTTTATTAAATAAAGGAACTTTGTGTTATTATCTATTTCTATATTATTAATTAATATATATAATATATATTATATAATAAAATATATATAATAAATATTAATATTAATAATAATAATATATTATTTATCGTTACACGTTAAAAGTGCAGGATCTCAAAGTTATCACATCTGTTTCTTGATGAAAATAGATTTACTTTAACTTCCTACACTAAATTTTATAGTAATAGTAACGTAATAAATACAGCTAATATCAAATTAAAAAGTTTGATTCAATATGTAATTTTGCAAAATTCAAAAACATAAAGACATATATCTATTTGAGACAAATAATTTATATTTATTATATATTATTAAAATGCATTTAAATATTATTTACTGTTTTGCATTTTTAACATTTTAACAAATAATATGTCAAATAACATTTAAAATTATTAATTAATATTTAATGTGCAGATTTAAGATGCACATTTATTACCTAATATTTAATATACATTAAATATTTGACAAATATATATACGCTATACTGATTGCATAGTTTTATGATTTAGATATATACTCTACCTATTGTAACGCAGACGGGATACTGTACATCATCTGATTTGTTAAAAAAATACACAATGTCAATTCCGTATGCAAAAAACGAGGCACCGCTGTGATTGCACAACATGAAGCCGTGTCTATTTCGGAGTTCTGGCAATATGGAATACACCAGAAATACTGACCCCAAAAGTAATATAGATACTATATAAGCACTAACTCTTATAATTTGTGTGTCAAAAATCAAGGGCTTTTTATCAGTTACCTCCTTGATCTTGTCAGTGGTTTCGGAACAGAAGATCACTTGGAATTTACTCCCTTCGACGACGTCGAAACAATATAATATCGAATCAACAAACATTTTAGAATCAGTTAAATATATAAAACCGTTATTCGAAATCATTATTTCAGAATCAATTAAATATATAGAACCGTTGGTAAAAATTTTATAATCGTACTCATACTGAAAATCTTTGAAAAGCAGATTGTAATCCTTTTTTTTGCACAAATCATAAATGGACAGCTGAAACAATTCGTTTACTTCTTTTTGCTCTGCGTCGAATCGTTCGTGTATACCTTTGGAAAAATGTATTCAATTCCTTCAGGAATGCAGTTGTCATCAACCAGACGATAGCCAAGAAAACAGCAGAGGCGAATGCAAGTATCATTATGACACATTTCGTTTGGGACGATGATAGTTTCATTAGCATTTTTGCTGGAATTTTTGAAGACTTCAAGTGATTTGGAATCATTCTTTTTAATTACATTTTCATACCCTTCCTGAGCCGTGAAATTCCTTTTATGATTGATATTTGTCGAATTCGTGTTAGATTTCATCGATTTTTGCTTATCATCTTTATTCTGCATTAAATGCTCGGAACGTTTATGTTGAATCAAATCATCATCCTCGCGATTGCCGTTCGTATGAAATTCTTTGTCATTTTGTGTATTATTTATAAATTTTTTATGCAAATCATGTCGCAGTGTTATTATTTCGTCGTTATAATTTGTTGTAGAATCCGTATTTATCTCGTATCGTATCGTCAAATTATCATCCTCGTTGATGGAATTTTGCTGCGATTTTGATGACGAAATGACGAGGAGAAGCACGGAACACAGAAATGCAAATATCTTTTCACTCATTATTTTATGTAATAATAAACATTCGAATAATTAGATAATCAAATTTAGTGTTCATCATTTTTCATATAAGTTTTAAATTCTCAATAATTAAAAAATGTCACATTAAATTTATGCGCACCTTTGCTTTTGTATTAATTGCAATAAAATGTGTCAAGTGCAAAATATAATATAATTAAATTATCTTATTTTGTTTCTCAGCAAAATCTCGAAATGTCGATTAGATTTTAGCACCATTACTATTAATATTGGTGATTGCACGCCTTGAATTTTAATTATGTCATTAGATAAAGTCAGTACTATATTACTGTATTCGGCTTTTTCTCGTTAGAAGAATGCACAAGATACATGTTTCTGCGCGGGAGAGAAGCTGAGACTACCGAGCACGACGAGTCGTCGATAGCTTTGCAAGAAACTGTCCGTCTACTATACCACTGACGAGATACTGTTACGTTTCAGGTAACTTTATTAATGCTACGCATTTTAAATATGTCTGAAACAGTATGTAATTTTATGTTATATCATTCTTACAAAAACAGTGCCGTATCTGTTGTATTTTTACGGGATCAGAACTGTCTGTCTAATTATTATCATTTGCTTATCCATCTCTGCGGCATTGAACATCAAACGCAACGAAAAGAATACAAACCTGCGTCTATCAGATTTGGAAAACAAGCGATATAATGACAATAAAAATTGGTGAGTATTCTGACATTTTTGTAACACTTAGTAAAAATCTTTTATTATCTTAATGAGATTTAAGCAGACATATTTATGTCAATGTCTCTGCCGACAATATCTCATACTTGCTTGATTCGCATTCCAGTTGAAGAAAGCAGGCATTTTCACTGTGCTTATTGTTTTTTTTATTTTGTTATGTATAATTATATAATCTATAAGAAAAGAAAAACATTTATTGCTTTAGCGTGAATCGTATCTTTTCAAAATAGTCTGTAATTTTCGAAATGTCGCGATACATAGTGAAAATAAAGTTAATGAATATGCATTTAGTATATAAAGAAAATTACATTTTAAAAAATTTATTTAAACTATTGTTTCTTTTTTCTCTTTTTTTAAAGATTGTATATAATTTATTTCTTTATTTTTTAATTATATAATTTGATATATAGAAGTTATTATTTTTATTGAAAGATGACTAAATATTAATATATATTTGTTTGCAAATTTAATCTATATATAAATTTTTTTGCAGATTTGATCTATATATGAAGTTTTTTATCGCGTTATTTATCATAATGGCCATAAATTGAATCGTGTATACAATATCACGGATACTTAATTCTCCACTAAAATACTCTAGTTATTTTATTTCTTTGTTGTTTACTGTGCAGAATTTCTGCGCTTTTATCGTATTTATATGAAAAAAAAGATTAAGTTGATGATGTTAAAACGACTCAGAATGCGGGATGAATAAATCGTGGACTTGACTACCATGTCAAAGCTGCAGAAACGGTCGAATTCTTGCAGAGAAGAAAATTGTCACGCGAAAGTTTCGTTTGATGAGATTAAATTCTAATAATGCAGTTATGTTAAAAAAAAGTTTTATCGCAAATCAGGCACCAACGAACAATCAGCAATGTAATATAATTATATTAAAACAGAAATAACTTTACCGTTTCATATTTTGATGTTAACGTTTCTTTATATAAAAGATTTAGTTTAAAATCTTATATAGAAAATTTATCTTAATTTACATATTATTGAATCAAATCAATGATTGCAATACTGTGAAAGACGTAGAAGTGCAAACTGGATTTGCGTAAAATTACACAGTTTTCATCTTAATAAACATATTATGTTGTATAAATCGCAGTTAAAGAATGATGCATCAATATTTTTCCTTATATCTGTACTTCAATAATTATTTTCTGAGATAGATTCTTTGATTACATCATACATTTACACCAATATAAATATATAATGTAGATGAAAATCTTTTCATTATTTACTCATTGACTTCATCGTTGTTTTTAAATACTTTAATTTTTTTGAAAATATATGTATAATGATTTTTTTGATTAAAAATTAATGTTTTAAGCGATTAAACGTGTTGGATAACATCAATTAATCCATCTATCATGAACAGAAGTTTATTAATATTTTTTCTTACACCTTGTATACATGATTTCGCGATAAATAAATTGCCTTCCAACATTATCAACAATTTGTTATTCACGATACATTCTTGTTTGAATGATCGTATTTGTGCTTCTCATGTAATTTTCTCATATGCATGTTGAAAATGAATTAATAAAATATGCATAGTCTATTTAACGCAATTACTACCTTTATTTCAATCGAATAATCAAAATTGTTCTGAGAAATAATTGTCTTTTTGCATGTCGAATTCAGATTGACAAATGTTTTTTAAAAAACAGATTAAAATTATTTAAATTAAGAATTATAATAATATACATAATAACATTCGGCGAATTAAAATTATTATTGCACAGTGTTTCGAAATCGTTCTATTTTGTCAGTGCATATGAATAAGCACTTTAATAATTCGGAACGATTGCTTCCGGGCTTTGCGCAAGAATTAATAACTTTTTTGTGTACCAAATTTTTGTTCGTCAAATTTTTATTATGTATGCACATAATTTTAATTCCCGTATTGTTATTTTTTAAAATTTTTTAATTTCTTTAATTAAATAAAATTAAAATAATCATCATATAATATGTATATAGTTATTAGTAGATTTCGGATTATATGCAAATTGCATATTTGTTATTTTTGCATATTTTACAAGAAGATTAATAATGTGATAAAATTATAATTTTTTAAATTAATAAACATTAATTAGTTGAAACTACTACAATTTTTTCACATTATCAATGCTGTCATAGAATGTGCAAAAAGTAACAATTATGCAATTTGGATATAATTCGAAGTCTAGTTCTTAGTGTATAATTTGATAACAGTATACAGACAGTGTGTGTGTGTGTGTGTATGAGTGGATATGTTTGTTTCTGTTTGTGTGTGTGTTTGCTAGAATTAAAATTATTATTGCACAGCGTTTCGAAATAGTTCCATTTTGTCAATCGTATGAAGCACTTTAATAATTAATAATTAGAAACAATTGCTTCCGGGTTTTGCGCAAGAATTAATAACTTCTATTGTGTATAAAATTTTTTTTGTCAAATTTCTATTATGCACATAATTTTACAAGAATAGAGAATGTATCGCTGCAAAGAGCCAAATATAATACTTAGCAATTCGCTAAGAGAAGAGAGGAATAATCTCTAAATTGAGATTTAACTTTCTCTTCTCTTTTTACTCTCTTAAAACTGATGTAGACGAGACAAATATATCGGTCCGAAAAAGTCGGCTGAATCGGGAAACGAACTCGAGACCTTCCGCTAATTTGGCGACTGCTCTTTTCTCTTGCAGCGGTACATTCTCTATCCTCTTTATTTACGATAAGAGCGTTCTAGCCATATTATTTGTCACATAATTTTAATTCGCGAGTTTTTAGTTTTAAAAAAAATGTTTTATTTTAATTAAGTAAAATTGAATAAAATTATTATATAAAATCAAACAATGGCGTCCGCTCAGTGCTCCATTGTCTATATTTATATAATAATTAAATTCAATTGTATTTTAATTAATGAAATAAAATATGTTGTCAAGCATACGTAAATGTGTTCAATTTTATAATAGTAGATAGACAGCATGTGTGCGTGATTTTTCTCTTAACTATCGACGACTCATCGCTCTCGATAGTTTCATTTTTTTTCTTGTAGAAACACGTTTCCTTGTGCATTCTGCTCTTCTTTTAGAAATACAAGATAATATCGGATACATTGATATATAGTATATGTTATAACGAATCTAGCGAGATAATTAAAAATCAATCGTGCAATCGTCTACATTAATAGCAGAATAATCAAATCAATCTTTTGAGATTTTGTTAAGAAACACAAAAGCAAAAAGATATTTTGATTTTATTACAAGTGTATATTCTGCATTTAACACCTGAATTTCATAAACTTAATATAAAATTTAAAGCAAAAATTTAATACAGAATTATTTAATTTTTGACAATTAGAAATCTATATGTGAGAACTGATAAATACTGAAAAGTTTGACTGATTTAATTATTTAATTATTACAAAGTATATACTAATATGAAATAATGTGTCATAAAAATTTCGCGTTTTTGTATTGCGGACTTTTTCTTTTCATCACGTTATCGAAAAATATATATGACGAATAAAATTTAATTAATGTATAAACGTTAAGAAATTTTTGAAAGCGTTTAAAATTTTTATTTTTGTGAAATACAGATGCAGTCATTAATTAGATTTCTGTTATGAATTGTCATTTTGTTTAGAATTGCATATAAATGTTTTCTTTTCTTATAG